CATTCTGTTTTCTATTTCCCAAAATGTAAAGATAAGCTAAGAAAATGAACGTTGTGCTTGGGCATTGTTTCTATTCCGAATTTACTCAATAATTGAACACCAAAGAAAGTGGCATGAATATTTCTTCTTAGAAATCAGATGACCTAAAATCATATAAGAAACGAAATGACCAGAAACAACAGATTATTATGTAGAAATTTATCGTCTTTAGCCGTTAAAACTAGACACAAACAATATAGCATCATTGTGAGTGACAAAACAAGCATCCCAAAATTACACAGGAAGTAGTATAAAGAAAGTAAAGCAATTAAGATAAAGCTTCATATTCCACATAGCAAATGTCAACAAAGGAACGAGCAGATCTGATCTAAAACTGACCGATCCGGCAATCAGATCAAGCTGATCAGTCCATATTCTTCAGCCTTTTGATGCCACTGTTAAGCTGGTCGATACGGACGACAAGTTTGGTGACGGAATAGAGGAGCCAGTAGAAGATGAGAGCGGAGGCGATGAGAAGGGCGTTGCGCTGTGACTTCATAATAGATTTCTGGTGGCGGAGGTGCTCGGAGGGGGAGCAAGAATCGGATTCACAGGTGGGCCGGTTCTCGTACTTCCAGTAGATGTCCATCAACAGGAAGAGGCAAAAGGGGACGATCGAGAGGAAGGGCTTGAGAAGGTTCCGAGTGACGGCGATAAGGCCCTTGCGCAGCGCGTCGAGGCCGGGGACGGTGAGCAGGAGCAGCATGATCGCCTCTGCTCCGGCGGCGTAGCCTAGCACCACCCATTCCAGCGCCATTGTTTTAGTGCCTGTAGAGTTGAGGGTGGAAGAGAGATTTGAGGAAGGAAGAAGACGTTCCCTTTCTTAATTTGGGGAATTGCTCGGTATTAGGGATTTGAAATTTGACGAAGAAAGGAAGGAACAAGTTTCATTCTTTTTCGTAGTTTCCGACTTTTCCGTGTTGAGTCTTGACGTGGAAGAGAACTAGAGTAGACAGCGCAAATTGTTCCCCAGTGTGGTCCCGGATGGGTGCAAACGGCAAGGTCTTGTTTAGAAATAGTTTTTTCTATTAGCTTTAGCGTTTTGGATAAAATTTTAATAGTATAGATTAATTTTGAAAGCGCTAATACTAAAGGCTAGTGTCGGATAGCCTTTTCAAAACGCTAACGCTAAACTCTAATGCTGATGCTAAACAGGGGCTAAGACTACTTTTGGTTTAAGAAATCTAAGAAGAAACGAAAAGAAAAGTAAGAAGGAAAATATTTTTTTTGTTTGGTTAAAGAGAAAAAGAAAAGAAAAGTCAAATGTAAAGAAAATAAGAAGACAAAATGTACAAAGAGGTGGAAAACCAAAATTCCTCCTTTTTTGGTGAGAAAACCGAGGGAAAAACTATTTTCTTTTCTTTTTCGTCCAAATTCTTTAAAACAAACATAGTGTATGATGCCACTATGGAAAAACCGTAAAGTAACAAATAAAACACTTAAAATATATTAAAATAGGAGTTTTATGCTTTTATTTTTCAAATGAGAGTTAAAATACATTTACTCTATCAATTATGATCATATACATTACTAAAAAATATTGTGAAATATTATATATACAGTACAACATTATCTATAACGCCCCGAAACCAGACATATCAAAATAATTAATTAAAAATAATTAATTAATTATTGATACAGATCCAAAGTTAACTAGAAATACTTATTAATTAATTACAAAAACTATATTGTTGTGTAGGGTTCGACGAGATGAATCTCATGGTGCAAACTGATCTAAATTCAAAGGAACTTGGCCTAAAAGTATATTTTTCTTGAGGTACGTTATTTATTTATGGGGTACGAATCCCTAAGTATATAAATAACCTCCCTAACGTGCGTATACACGTTCGCCGCCCACTCTCACTATCTCTCGGTCCTCTCGCTTCCTCTCTTTCTTTTGACAGAACATCAACAACGGAACCAAAGCAGAGAAGATGAAGAAGAAGATCGTTGTCGCCGCCCTCTCGTCGTCAACCTTGCATTCGTAGTTAGCCCTTTGTTGTTTTGAGGTGAGTATGTGGACACTAACGTTAGAGTAATCTTTATATTTGAAATCTACATTCACAGGTTTTGTTGATTGAATTGCATGAAACTTGTATGAATCACATGTTGAGGGAGTTGGGTCGTTCAATGGGATCAAAACGGGTAGAAGCCTTATCCTAGGCATGGAATGATTATTGGATATGTTTTACGCGACATAGTACTCATGTTTTATCGTTTAAACTTTTTGGAATTGGATTCATGATTTGGAAACAACATCAGACGCTGGAAAACCCGCACTGCACCAAGTTGCATTCGTCAGACAGTAGGTCAAGCTCCTGCCATAGCTCATTTCACTCGGCCGTATGCTGTTCCCGGTAGGTACCCACTACCAGACGGACGATAGCCAGCTACCGCCCAAGCGATAGCTTGCTACCACAATAATTCGTTTTGTGCTATCGGTCCCTACCCTTCACGGTACTTCGACACCAAGTGGCGGTACCTAGGTACCGTTCACCGGTATACAGGTACCATGGCAGGTACCGCCTGAGAGTCACCCTTTTGCTTCTGAATCGGTTAAGCGTCAACGATGGAGTCTAAGACTATGTGTGTTGCATGACAGTTAGTTTGGGTATCAATATCCAATACTAGGCCGCTACTTGTTATGATTATGATTGTTTTGTGTTGATCCAATATGTATGTTATGTTATGAACTGTTTCCCTACTTTGAATGAGCGGGCGGATCCACCATGTCGAAGTACAGATTATGTGGTGTTGATCCAACACTATAAATGAGGTAAGTCTACCCATAGGAACTCTAGTACTCACTCAGTATTAGGAGAGTAAAATGTAAGTCATGTGGAGCCTACTAGGCCCAATGCCTAACCGGGTAAAAACATACGTATGAGTATCCTTGAACGGCCTAGTGATCCATTCCTCCCACCCAACGGATTACACCTTCGTCGGTTGAGCATGACCCGCTTATCTAGTGGGAACAATCATGATCCAGAAATAAAGTAATAGTCCTTAGTCTAGAATAGAATATAAGAACAGGTTCGTTGTGATCCATCAACCTCAAAAAAATCACATGATTGTTGAGAATGGAAATGGGCAAGTGTGAGGTAAATTATGTGCTTACTTGTGGTGTGATGTATATGTTGATTGCATGATGTCCCATGACTTGTAATGCCCCAAAATAGGTATATCAGAATACATTAATTAATAATTAATTACTAAAAAGGACCTAAAAATAAGTGATATATAAAGTTTATCAATAAATAATAAAAACTATATTGTTATGTAGAGTTTGACTGTCTGACCACAATGCTTCAATCAGATTTTAATTCAAAGAAAATTGGACCAAAAAGTGTACCTCGACTAGGACCAAATTAGTCCGAATTAGGGAGAGGCGTAAAATATCCGACTGAATCGCCTCCTTCAATTCTTCACCATTCTTAACAATTCTTCCTTCTATTATGTTTCTCTGAGTGAGGAGAATGCAAGTGATTCATAGTGATAATGGAACAAAATTCACTTCTATGATATCCTTTTTTTCAAAAACATGGGATCATCTTTGAAACATCTTGTGTTGGGACCCCTCAACAAAATGGAAGAGTTGAACGTGATCACTGCATTATTCTCAATGTGGCACGTGCTTTGCGCTTCCAAGCCAATTTACTCATTGATTTTTGGGAACTCCACGTTAGGAACATTGGGACGAGGTTCAACAAGTCTTGCGCTACATAAAGTTGTGGCCAGGATATGGGCTTTTTTCTCCTGTCATCCTCTGACCTTTCTATTACTACTTATTGTGATTCGGATTGGGCAAGCTGTCCACTCACTCGGGGGTTTGTGACAGGTTATTTTATTCAACTAGGAAATGCACCCGTTTCTTGGCGCACAAAGAAGAAAACACAGTCTCACGCTCCTCTGTTAAGGCAGGGTATCAATCAATGACACTTCTGTGTGCGAGCTCAAATGGCTCTGTTCGTTGCTCGCCTGCTTAAGCGTGCGCTAGCATGGCCCGATGAAGCGATACTATGGCAGTCAAGCTGCTTTACACATTGCTGCTAATCCCATTTCCCATGAACGCACATAACATATTGAGATTGATTATCACTTTGGGATATAATTCTGCGCGGGGTGTTACGCACTGCTCATATTGCTATCTCTTACTAAAGCTTTGCCCACGGTGCCATTTAATCATTTGTTGTCCAAGCTAGGCACTCAGAATCCACATGCTCCAACTTGAAGGGGAGTGTTGGGCGACACACGAGACAAAAAGGAAAGATGGGAAATCAGATCTTTTAAGGATTCGGTCTTGTTATGGAAGATTTTAAGGTTTTAATAAGAATAGAAGTTTCCTTCTATGACTTTATAAAGGGGGTCTCATCTTTGTATTACACAGAATCACATAATATACAGAATTCTTTCCCGATATTATTTCTCAACAAGCTTTTTCATATCCTTAGGTGATTTTTTTGTCCAATTGATCACTCATTCATCTTCTCTCCCCATTTTATTCCCCAACCAAACATAAAAAAGGTTCTTGAAATTTATAAAATTTAAATGTATTTTCTCACCATATTGTTTTTCCTATCATTTTCCTGCATCCACGTCAATTAGCCACCAATCAAGCCACAAACAAAACAACCTAAACGCTAAACCCATGTATCTAATAATAAGCGCCGTATCCTATGTATAGCAACACGGCTTGAAAGCAACAGCCGACATATGATTATGTGGAAGGAATTGCGGCACAAATTAAATGTGGGAGAGAAACCACCAGCGCTGCTGCTTCTTTAATTTGAAGTGTTGCGACAATGCGACCGACCGAATAGTGTGCATAAAAGTGGTAAGAATTGAGACAGATCGGCTTCTTTAAGTAACCATCATGATGATGATGATGATTTTGATGGCCATTTGGATTAATTTAAAAAAAAAGATTAGGTAGTGTTCATAAATCCTACATGACTCTCTAACTAAAAATTAAATGTTTCTTAATTCTTAAACAACAATTTGGTAGCTCTGCTACTTGGACATGGACATGTCCATCAAAATATCAGACTATGCTTCCTCCGCAGAAGCCGATATCGGAGGAGGTAGCATTTGTCCTCCACACCTCAACGGCATAACCATCGCTTGGTTACTGCTACTACTACTACTGCTACTACTACAGTCCGTGTCTGAAAACATTCTGTTTTGACTTGTCAGCCGGATCGCTAGTAATTCCACGGCTTCCACCATCCATCCCTTCTCACAAACTTCTCTTGCTTCGCCGATACTTATCTGTAATTTGATCATTGGTTTTAGACAATATGTATCTTTTTTTTTGTGTGTGAACGGAAATTTGAAAAAAAAAAATTAATCTTCTTACCCAGAGCCTTTGTCGGATATTCTTCTCGGGCCAACAGTCGAGCTCCTCTTTGACGAGCAACGGGAACATGTGCCCTTCACAAGCAATGCCACTTCTCTTGCTCCCAAAGTTCCACGTTCCCAGTTTACCCTGTAATCAAATGCCAAGAGAAGATGTGTTTAGAGTACCAATCAAATGCCTGTTGATATATAATGTCAGAAAACATTGTAAAACATCAACATACAGTACCATGTTGTGGCATTGCACAGAGCAAACGCTCTTATTTAGATGATACAAATATAGGAGAAACTAACCTCGAGGTCACCTACGACTCCTGCTTCTTCTATGGTCTCCCGCAGTGCCGCAGTTTCCATTGTTTCGTCTATTTCCCATCCTCCCTGTCAAAGACACAATCAAAAGGTTATGTCATTGCTGCAAGAGTTTTCAGCATTGTTGTTAAATATGGAACCCTAAGTGCTGTGAACATATTAAACTTTATATACCTTAGGAAACAACATCCCTTTCCCTTTTCTCTGGGGACTGATGACCAGAACTTCATAAGATGATTCTTCATCAGAAGGCAACGTCCCAATCGTATCCTTGTACCTGTACGGTATACACCTGCACCACCACAGATTCAAATTTGGAATCATGCAAGATGATACTAACACTCCAATCCAAGAAATTCGGAAACAAGAAATTAAATATACACGGTTGTAACTCTCCACTACAATTATGTTCTTCGTCACATAAAAAGTTTCACGTTTCTTTTTTTGTTTCATCTAAAAACACATTCTTTTTTTAAGTAAAAAATTGTGTGTTGCCACAATTTCCCTCTTCATAGTCATGTTTTTTACTTTTATACAGTAAATAATAGTGACCTATCAATTGTGAATTTTATTGGGAGACAGAGGATGTAAGGAATAGTATCATGTCTTCATATCTCCTCCAACCAAGATCCTCATTAAAAAATTTAATTACCCATTTCAAATATTAATTGATTTCAACTGTTATGCTTTAAAGTACAACTAAGTCAACCATGTGGTTTCAATGACACAGTTGAACAAGCCTTTCTGTCATGCACCTAAAATACACTGTGAGCTTTCTAACATATGGAATTTAATTCAATAAATGTTCATCCATGTAATATTTATTACTTATATGAGAGGGGTCCATACTTTTTATGTGCATCTTAAGCGCATATAAGAATTTACCCAATTGGATGATCTCTCTAATTCCAAACTTTCATTCTATGTAATTTGCAACACATGGTGAAGACATGATAAACTATTGTGTTACTTACTCTCAAGAAAAGTAGTTTTAAGACATAAAGTTTTAATTTCAGTTGTGAAGACCACAAACATCACACTTCAGATAAAACTAATGCGTGAAAAAACATGACTTTACAAAGTAAAAAACAAATAAAAATTAGATTACACATAGTAGAAAATTCCAAATGACATGAGTGCAATTTCTCTCCTCCCCTGGTTTTGCTAAGTTTACAATTTCTCAAAAGTTTAATACAGAGTGGGTATACTAGTTACCAGAAAATACTACAAAAGGGCAAGCTAATTAGAAGTACATAAACCATGAGTTAGATCTTGTTTTTTCGACTTATTTTTTACTTATTACGTATTCTTATTGAAATCATATCAAATCAGAAACGGCTTTAAATATAACTACATTCAGAATCAAAACTTAATCGAATAAGCAACTCGGATCCGTACCACTGTCTTCAACCACCAGTTCAATTTTTGGTTTAATTGGTTCTCAAACCCTAGTACGAATTACTTATAGTCTTAAACCATCTTCCAACTTAAAAACGAGTTTGAATTTGGTTCCTCTTCATTTTTAAGGACCAAAACAATTATGGACTATGATGGGACAACAATTTTTGTTAGGGAGAAAGACCAAAGTAGGAGTAAAAGATTGAAAATATACCAAAATATGACTTTCATGCTTCTATTCCCGAAATAGGACTTAAAATGCATTTACATTACCAAACATAGTCTTGCACATTACCAAAAAGTATAGTAATCTGCACATGTACAGTGCCACATTACAACCACATTACCATAGTGTGAAGTCTTTTTCGGAAAAAAAACATGAAAGTCCAATTTTGGTACTTTTCTTTATGTTTTAGTCCTACTTAGGGTGATTATTATTTTTGTTAATCTTTTCTCCCAAAGAGGATAAGTTTTAATTTAAAACTAATGAGGAATTTTGTGACAAATAAATAAAGAGAAAAATGCACCGTACGGTTTACCCTGAACTCTTTCGAAATTACATGACTTACCCTGGAACATTGAAAAGTACATCGTTTACCTTCGTACTTTTCAAAAATTACACGATTTACCCCTGAACATTAAAAAATGCACCAATACCCCAGAACAAATTTAAAACGTTGCATCGTTGGTCCTAAAATGCTAGATAAGGAGTGCGTTGCTCCCACGCACGGAAATTGCGAGTATGATTTATCTGGCCATTGTGAATTATCCAAAGTACCTTTCCCTAAAGCTATCATCTTTATTTAAAAATTCAGGGATAAATCATGCAACTTCCGAAGAGGTCAGGAGCGTTTAGTGTATTTTTAATGTTCAGATGTAAACCGTGCAATTTCTGAAGAACTCAGGTGTGTTTTGTGCAGTTTTGTGCACATTTTAATGTTAAAGTATAAACCGTGTGATTTTCGCAGAATTCAGAACTAAACGGTGCACTTTTCTCGATAAAGAAATAAATAAATAAACAAAGTCATTACTAAGTCAACACGCTGAGAGATTGGGATAAAAGAAACAAAACAAGGATAGGAACAAAGTTTGAAGAAATTTCAACCATTTTCAATAATAATAATAATAATAATAATAATAATAATAATAATAATAATAATAATAATAAATTCCAAAGTATATCACAATTGAGAAGAAGCAGATAATCAGGTGCAGGAGCGAAGAGAAAATTGATGGGATGTATTATAAATTAACATTTAAAAGAATAATAATGAGAGTACCCGACGACTTGCCGGCGACCATTGTCGTACCGCTGCATATTCCGGCCGGTACGCGAAACCATGTTTTCCAATTCCATTTGACAGTATGATGGAACTCAAAGTCTGAGTACGAGTGCAATTATGATTACTATGCTCGGTAATTAATATGAAGAAATTGGAGAGGGAAATTGGGAATATAATGGAGGAGGGAATTTGAATTGTGAAGAGAAGAAAGAGGGAATGGGGTGGGGGGGTTTGGGGCGGTGTGCTCACACTCTCTTTTTTAGGGAGGAGAACGAAACCGTTAATGGCACCTGTTCAACGTTATCTAAATTTGAAACCGACATTAATGAACATTTTTTTGTTTTGCCGCACCATTTCTTTGAAATTACTCCTAACTTTTACGCCCACGGTCCTCGCCCCCTTTTTGTCCCTCCTAACTTGTAAGAGCATCCCCAATTTTGAGTTTTACTCCCTAGCTTCCTAAATCTTATTATTTCTCTAAAAATCATTCTAAATTGGACTAAAACATAGAAAAAAAATATTAAAATAGTATTTTCATGTTTTTTCCCCCAAAATAGGACTTTGCATTGTGGTAATGTGACACTGTACATGTGCACATTTATATACTTTTTGGTAATGTACATGACCATGTTTGGTAATATAAATGCATTAAATCCTATTTCAGAAATAAAAACATAGAAGTCCTATTTTGATATATTTTCAATTTTTTAGTTCTACTTTGGTCTTTCTCCCTTATTTCTCTTGTTTATCCATTCTTGTGTTGCAAAGACTTTATATTATAACACAATTGCTAAATGTTAACTTTAACTTGTCACATTCTTCTCAAAATATAGCAAACCATTATATTAATAAAACAATTTTATCTCTTCCTCTCTCTCATTCTTCCTCTTCTCAAAATATTTTGTTGCTTGTGCTCTCTAATTTTTTATTGATTTTTATCTACTCTCTAATTGATATTCATTAAATACTAAATAATTATATTTTATTAAATAATTATATAATTATATTTTATTAATTTACCTAATGAAAAATATTTTTTTGAATTATTATTTTAAATTACATTCTTATTACTCTCTCCGTCCACTAATTTCTTTCTAGTTTTTTTTAGTTCATCAAAAAATTCTTTCTCATTTCTTATTTTGGTAAATTTTTTTAACGAATGTGTTGTTATTTCTACACTTTTTATCTACACTATTCACTTTATTCCATCACATCAACGACAATATATGGAAAGTCTTTACACTTTTAACTTTTTTTAATATCTGTACCAAGTCAAACCGAGAAAGATTTTTTTGGACAGAGGGAGTACTTAGTTTGTATAATATAATTTTCAAATTACTATAAATAGTGTAGTATAATAGTGAAAACAAGTATAATATCCTTTTTAGTTATATTGTACTCCCTCCATCTCAAAAAGATTGTCACAGTTTAATTTTTTTGTTCAAACAATGGCACTCTCTGACTGTGAATTATGGAAAAAGTATACTTAATTATCATGCAAATTTAGTAAAATTGGGTTTATTTTAAAATATAGTTTTAAATATCAATTTTTATAATATTTAATTATTTTAAATTATATATAATTCCTGATCAAAGGATACCATAGTTTAACCCAAAAAGTCAAACTGTTACAATCTTTTAGTGACGGAGGGAGTATTATAGCAAGAGAATGTTGGCGATGAAAATCAAAATGGTTTGATATACGACTACTCACATGCTAAAAAATGTTTTTAACAAGAAATGTTTAACAAGTGTGCTTGGAGATGCTCTAGGCTCATCCCAAGTAAAGAAATTACCCTACATAGCACTCTAACTCACCCTAAATTACGCATTTAGCACTACTCATTCTTTTTAACAAACTTAGCAATTTGTGGTGGCAATCCTTTCCTATCATACCCTTTACCCCTTTTTCTTTTTTTTTTCATTAAACATTACGGCATTCAACTCCAATCTCTCCTTCTGTTCGCCCGCACGTTATTGAACTCCACAATCTCTCGTTCCCTTCGCTCGCGATCATGCGTCCTCAGCCCCTCGCCCAGGATTCTTTTGTCGATCAGCAGCGGCAATCATCAGGTTCCATCCCATGCTTCCCTCTTTGATGCCGCTAATCATTTTCTCATCTCCTTCAATTTTTAATTTTCATTCCTTCAGCTTTTTATTCGAATTTCCCTGTATTTTTAGTTTTAATTATTGTGTTTTCTTCGTATTGAAGATTAGGTGTTGTGAAATCAATTTTGAAATACCAAGTATTTGTCCCTTTTGAAAAATCATGTCTTTTGAAGGGCATTGTGATTTTGGCAGTGTGAAGATTGGGTGTTATGGTGATGGCAGTGTGAAGATTAAGTATTAAAATTTGGACGATTTCGTATGCGCTCATGCCGTTGCAGCTATTGCTTCTCGCCCTGGTTAGTTGCTACTTACAATCACATTGTGCACCCAATAGGAGACAAGTCTTCTTGGAGTGTTCCGCCGGATGTTGCATCAGTGATTTGCAAGCCTCCATCTTGTAATAAGCGTCCCCCGGGTAGACCAAAGAAGAGGAGACTTCCATCAGTTGGTGAACTTCAAATAGGTCAGAGGAGGCGTAGAAAACAAAGATGCACATGTTGTTTGAATTTGAGGCATAACGTAAAAACATGCAAAAACCCAATACCAAACTGACACTGCATTGTTTCATATTTCGTATAATATACAATTCTCAATTGTTTCCTTCATCCATTTTTGACGTTGTTGAGACACATTATTTGGTTTTTTATTATTTTAATAATTATACTCCTTATAATATAATTTGAATTTTGAATTAATATATAATACTTTATCTACTTGCACCATTGAATTGCAAAAGTGAATATGGTATAAGTTGCATTCTTTTAAGTCTTGTAACATTCCTTGTGAAATGTGGAAGTGTACTAGTACTTTTATTATAGTGTGGCAGCGAAGATTGTATATGTGCCAGTGTATAATGTTTTTGGGCAGTGTTTTCACGGCCTAAAACCATATTGATTAGGCAGTATACCCTGTCTTGTATAATTAAATCTCACGGCCTAAAATGAATTCTACTCTTTATTTTGGCAGTGTTGTATGTGTTAGGGCACTAATTTCAATCTCAAACATATTTTGACAGTGAAGAGCAGAGATTTTCATACTTATATACAATGTGGCTGTATACCTTGTCTTGTATAATTAAATGCCACGACTTCAAATAAATTCTGCTCTTTATTTTGGCAGTGTTGTATGTGTTAGGGCACTAAATTCAATCTCAAACATATTGTGGCAGTCAAGAGCAGAGATTTTCATATTTATGTACCATGTGGCAGTGAAGAGTGTATACATTGCAGTGTATATTGAACTAAAGGATTTAAATTTCACATCCTAAACCTAATTGGGGCCTCCCAACTTCTATCAACAATTTTTGGCAGTGTCCTACGACCACGTTGCAGAGATTTTCAATATGTGCCCAAAACCATATTGATTAGGCAGTATACCATGTCTTGTATAATTAAATGTCATGGCCTAAAATGAATTCTGCTCTTTATTTTGGCAATGTTAGTTGTATGAGTTAGGGCACTAAATTCAATCTCAAACATATTGTGGCAGTGAAGAGCAGATATTTTCATACTTATAAATAATGTGGCAGTGAAGAGTGTATACGTTGCAGTGTATATTGAACTTAAGGATTTAAATTTCACATCCTAGACCGAATTGGGGTCTCCCAACTTCTATCAACAATTTTTTGCAGTCCTACGACCACGTTTGGTTACTATCTTTTCGTCAAATGTGATTTATATATAAAAATCCCACTATCATATATTATTCATTGAGTTCCATAAATAGTGGATATAAACCAATCACCAAAATCACTAGTCCTCATATAACTTTATCAAACAAAGTGTGCAGTGTAAGCCCACACATTTTTGGAAGTGTGGAATGGTCATGATCTACGTATAATTTTTAGCAGTGTATTATGTCTAATATTTTGGTCAGTGTGCTATGGAATGTTGCAATGTATGCTCCATACGAACTCTTTAAAGTGACAACATAATACTTTCCATTACCCATTTCTTTTCAGTACCACATAAATAAAATTCAATGTATGTCTTCAAGGCATATTCTAACTTCGTACAAAATCTTGCAAGACCAAAAAAACCAAATCAATGATAAGCACTTGTAAAAAACTCTCCACTAATCTACTTCTCAAATCACTTATAAATTAAACACCCATAAATTATTGCTAAAAGAAAAAAAACTGTCATGAATACCACAAAAAAATTTAAACAAACAAACACCAAACAACTGTCATACGAACATTAAATTATCCAAGTTAACAAAAAAAATTTATTGCTTCGTGGATTCTTCCTTTCTTTCATAGCTATAAGCTAAAAGTTTTGTTGTCATTTTAACCCGGTAAGCTTCCATGTCACATGACTGCACTTCATCTGTTTTGCGACCTCATTCACATTACAATACGTGTTAATCCTCCCATCTTTCATAACACTTTTAGAGGCCACTTCAGCTTCCTACAACAACAATAGACCATCAAGGTAAGCTTCACAAATCTATCTAACGACACTTACATGAAACAGATTACTTGACGAAATTTGTACCACTTGAAAGATTAAAACAATATAATGCATAGTTCATAGAAATACATTTTTCCTTATGCTAAGTCGAATCAATCAAACTTTAACCAAAATTTATTTAACCAAAAAATAAACCAAAAAGAATGTTTCAAGTGATTAAAAAACCAAGAACAAGTGACATACATGTTATTTCGAATGCACTGCCAAATACTTCAAAATCAATGCAAAACAACAATTTAAACCCACTGCCAAACAATGGAGAAATTTGTTAGCCTTGGTTTTCTAAGTCTCGTGTTTTGATGTTAACAAACAATACAAGAGTTTAACGTTTGTTTAAGTGTTTCAGGTACAACAAGAATCTATTAAGGTTCGGTTCTCAAGAGTGAAGTAGAAACACTAAACTAGCGTAGAATTTAGGTAGAAACCGATGTAAGGATATGATTTTATATACCTATATTCACAAGCTCAAAAACACTCACAAAATATGTTTAAAACCCTTTTATAATCATTTTCAAACATCCAAAAGG